ATGTGTGTGTGTGTGTGTGTGTGGTGTGTGTGTGTGTGTATGTTTGTGTAGTTACACCAATCATAGTTCCAGTTTTGAACTAATGTCCCGTGCGCTCATACCACCCAGTTGGAAGCGCCGTAAAACTTCTTCCAAGCTGAAACTGAAACTGTTCCTTTTTTTTTTTCATCAGGTAATGATCTGATAATGATGGACTTTCAGGTAAGTAATAGTTCCACGTTTATAGCTTTTCTTTATGTTTCTTTTTTGAAAGGTTATTGTATGGCTAGTTGGCCGGTAAATCAGTAGTAATCTAATCTTTCCTCCGAGTCCCGAAGTATGGGAAGCGCTGACTGTGTAGCATACTATGTTATTTAATTAATTCTTTCTGTTTATTTACTTTGTTTGTTTGTTTGCTTTTGTATCTCTGAAAAAAAAGAATATAGTATGAAAAAAACGTGTTTAAATTTTGTAGCTAGTACGAGCAGAGTCAGAATCGGTGGACGAATAGTTACTAACCTCAGGTTTGCCGATGCCATTGTCGGATTGACAGGAAATGAATTCGCCAGAGCTGTGAAACGACGGAATAGAAGCATCAACCTGATAAGGCATGGACATTAGTGCCAAGAAAAGAAAGATGATGAGAAATAGTAACGGACCCATGAAAACCAATATTACAGTCAGTGGTCGGCAGCCTGAAACAATCAACCAGTTAAAATACTTTGCTGTTATCATCAGCGAAGAGGGATCCAAGCCAGAAGTGCATGCAAGAATTGCACAAACAACATGGGCGCTTACAAGACTAAGACTAGTATGGAAAGATAGAAACATCTCTGTCAATTCCAAAATCAGACTACTCTATGTCCTCGTTATTTCCATCCTTCTGTATGCTTGTGAATCGTGGACCTTGACGGCAGAGCTTCAGAGGAAGATCCAAGCAGCCGAAATGAGATGCTTTAGACGACTCTTTGGAATCTTGTACTCTGACCACGTCGCAGAAGGGTGGAACAACACATGAGCCACTATTTAGACTTGCTGTCTACTGTGAAGCGAAGAAAACTGAATTGGTATGGCCATGTAACAAGATCGTGTGGCCTATCCAAGACCATTCTTCAGTGAACTGTGCAGGGGAGGAGAAGAGGAGGAAGGCAAAGGAAAAGGTGGATCGGCAAAATTGCGGAGTGGACAGGGAAGTCCTCCGCCCAAACTCAGGCGCTTGCAACC